GAGAAAGAGATAGAATAGAGTTTTAGAATGAAGACAGAGATAGAGGTAGAGGTAGAGGCAAATGTAAAGAGATAGAGACAGAGATACAAATAAATACATAAAGATTTAGAATAGAGACAGAGATAAAGGTAGTAATAGAGATAAATTATGTTTAGAGTATAGGATGAGCTTGGAAAAAGGATAAGAGATGGTGCTATAAAAGGATTAGAAGATAGAGCAAGAGATAGACGAGATGAGAAAGATGAAGAATTGAGCAGTGTGTGAGAAAAGTGAACAGCATATATTTTATGGTGATATAGAGAAAGAATAGAATTGTATGCTATGAAAGAAAGATATTAGATCTATGAGTATGAGAAAGAAATGAAAAAGAATGATAAGCAAAGAAGATACAATAACTCACCACACTATGTCTAATGTTGTAGATATGTTTTTTGTTTTACAAGCTCAGGTAATAGTCGTGGTACTAAAGGAGAATACAGGAGCACAACGACATGAACTGGATAGTAGATTGTTATTCATTGTATTTATGTGTTGTTCATTTAAATAAGTAGATTTTTATTGTAAACCCGTGATTAACTTGTAATTTAAAAGTGTTTTAATTTAAGTAGAATTTTGCATTCTGGTATAAAACTCTGGTAAATTGGCTTAGACATTTGTATAGAAAATTTAGGTTGTTACACGTATGACATAGCACAGTTTAGAACTTTCTTGATTGTGGTTCATAATTTTGTTTAACTATACTATGTAGTGTGGTTTGCACTTTCTAATTAAAAGATCGCATTTGAAACTACACCGCATATTTAAACCATTAGAGTTTTATCATTCATTGACCCTTAAAGGTAGACGAAGGATCGTGAAATTCTAAGACAAAACGGACAAAACCTATCTAGGATCATTCGATGCTTCCATGCGGCCTCGGGTTTAAAAGTAAACTACAATAAATCAAAGGTGTTAAGTGTGGGAGAAAGCATGCAAGAGGTGTCTCGTTGGGCTCATCCATAGGTTGTGAACCATCTTCTCTTCCATTCACGTATCTTGGGGTCCCAATGGGTGCCAACATGAAGCTCACTAAGCATTGGAAACCTATAGTTGATAGATTTCAAAACAAGCTGTCATTATAGAAATCGAATGCTCTTTCATTCGGGGGCGACTGACAGTTATCAAATCTGTGTTAGGAAACATCCCAACCTACTTCATTTCACTCTTCGTCGCACCTACTGGAGTTGTGGAGGAATTACATAAAATAAGAAGGAGGTTCCTATGGGGAGGATCTAGAGAGAGGAAAAGGATACAGTGGGTATGCTGGGACAATGTGACTGCAAACAAAGATGTAAGTGGCTTGGAGTCGAGTCTATGAAGTTAATTAATACCTCACTAATCGTCAAATGGTGGTGGAGATTAAGAACGAAACCATTCTCATTATGGGCTAAAGTTATCAAGAGTGTGCACAAACTTGAAAATAAACCTAATAAACACCACTCCCTAAAAGGAATGCCAGGAACTTGGAATAATATAGCCAATATAAGCCGAGAATTAGAGAAGAAAGGCATTTCTCATGATAAAAACTCTTCAAACAGCAAGTATCAAATGACGATTCTTGGAGATGTGGTCTAACCGAAAATGGGGAATACCAGGTAAAAGCTTTTCGGATTTTGTTGGAGAATCTAGAACAGGTTGATAGTGGTAGATTCATGTGGATTAAGGAGGTTCCAATCAAGGCCACAAGCTTCATTTGGAGGGAAATAATGGGACATATACATGTTGTTGTTGCCTTGTCTACAAGAGGTATAACTCTTCCATCAAAAGTTTGTTGTCAATGCGGTGAAGATGACGAAACAGGAGATCACATTTTGGTGAATTGCCCATTTGCTAAATCTGTTTTGGAATGGATCTTCAAATGGTGTAACATTCCCATGGCTATTTTTTGTGATATCCCCATTTTCACAGCTAGAAAAGACTGGTTCGTTTATGCTTTATTTTGAAAATCAGAGTAACATTTTAAAGAAAAGTGTTGCAGAATTTGTTCCCAGAAAAATATGATAAATACGTTATCAAAGCATTTCCAAAGAAATGTATTTTATTCATTTTAAAACATTGAGATCTCATCTTCAATACAAAAACATAAGCATAAACAGAACTTACATTTATTATCACTAGTGATTTATATCTCCTTAATCTCTCAATGTAATGTAGCTTCATATCGACACCTGTGATACAAATAAACTGAGTGGGTCAGATTAAGAAACCTGGTGAGTACATAGGGTTTTCAACCAACAATAATATAATTATTATGTTTAAACATCAAACAATCAACCTAATTACCCATCCCCATTATATTATTTCCTCTTAAGGATCTACCCTAATAATCGGTTATTCCTCGTTTATTCGTTCCTAAGGATTATCCTAAAGAATATGCATGAACTCCATCGTCACAAAGGTTTATACAACAGGTACTAAGTCCATAGTCGCCAGGGTTTAGGCACTAAGTCCATAGTCGTCATGGTTTATGCAATTGGCACTAAGTCCATAGTCGCCAATGTTTACTTATATCCGCTTTCATCCCTTCTTAATCATCTACCCACGTTTTACCCAACATATTCATAGATATAAAATACATATACAGTTTAAATCACTTAAAACATGCATAAAATCGTTCATCTAGCATAGACAACAAGTATTCACATAGCACGTAATCTATATAAAATACTTCATATATATGTGTAAGATGAAAGTAAATATACACTCACCTTAGTAGTGTGAGTTGATAGAATCTGACTAGAAATGATCTGCGGTTCGTGATCGTCGGGCTCGAGACGCGAAACGTCATCAGCAAATGAGAGAGAGAGAGAGAGAGAGAGAAGAATTTGGTGTAAGGAAGCTTAGGATCGAAATCGCTATTTATAGGCTAGTTTTTGGCATCTGACATGGTGAGCCTCACATGCTCACGTCGTGATCCATGCCCAGTCGCCCAGTAGACTTGCCATTTGTGTTTATAGCTCTGAAACGTGTCCTTACGACTTCTCACGTCGATTCCTTATGTCGTTCCGGTTTTGTCGCGAAACTTCGACATGTCATAACTTATTCGTTATAACTCGGATTTCAGTGTTCTTTATATGTACGAAAACCTTGTAACATAAAGTACAACTTAGTTAAGATTATTTATTTTAAATAACCCTCTATAAAAAAAGTAATTTTTGACACTTATCGTCTTTAAATTGACTAGCCCGAATCTGCGGGCACTACATTTTTCAATCGGTTCATGACATTATCGATTATGCATCTAACTGGGGAAATTGCCCTAAGAAGAAGAAAAGAATGTTAGGCATATACTATGGAACCCTTTGGAGCATCTGGAAGGTGCGATATGAGAGACATGCTTTTCAAGAATAAAATAGTCTCTGCAACCAAAGTGACCGATATCACTAAATCAATAAAGTTTCTTTGGTTCAAATATAGGAGTGGCAACAGAGATCTAAGTTGGTTGGGTTGGATTATCTACCCTCTCAGTAATCTGTAATTGGTTTTGCTTTTCATTACTCTTATATGTACTCTTGTATGTGTTTTCCCCAGCCAATCATCTTGTTAGGTTTGGGTTTTTTATATTATTATCTCTTGCCGGTTAAAAATAAATAAATAAATAAAGTCTATGATAAACTATTTTATTCATATTGGACTCGTCATTGCTCTGATTAAGGCTATTAAGAATGATCCGGAAAGAATGCACAATTATATGACATAAATTGTTTGCGTTTTCGGAAATTTAGTCGTTATGTGATTTAAAATAAATATTAAAATTGGAAGCAATATAGTGATGACCGGAAATCCGAATTTAATAATGACTTTTTTAATTATTAATATTGGAGTCTTAATTTGTCTATTAGAATAAATTAAAACTTTATAGTTTATAAGTTGTATTGTTTACTAAAATGGTTAATGCCATAATTGTATTCAATATTTCATTAAATTGTTTTTAATATTCGTATTATATCAGTAAAGTGTATTTAAATATGATAATTAGTAGACACAATATCAAGAGATGGACAGTCTACCATATCATATGTCATAGTAGAGACAATATCATACCAAAATATTGTCATGCTGAATGCCAGTATACATGATTAGAATCTATACAATGGTATACCAAATTAAAATGGTATAGTGAGATCTCAGAAAGAAATTTAGTTACATGTTGAATACAATTTAAAAAAGTAATCTAAAAAGACATATATGCATATAATGAATTAAAAATCATCAAAAATTCAAACACCGTCCTCACCAAAACAAATAATATAGTTCAATACTTTCTTATGTGGTTATTTACCCAAAAAAAAAAAAAAAAAAAAAAAAAAAAAAAAAAAAAAAAATACAATGGGACTTGTGAATTTTACTCTAAATCATATCGCACCGACGTCACAAGCACCCTTAATTTTACACCCCCTACGGAAAACGAGTACTCAACCCATTGACCAGCTTTTGTCTTCTCCCACGACTAAAATATGAATCTCTTTGTGGTAATAGGTTAATAGCCGACTCAATATTTTAACTAACTGTTGAGAAAATAAAGGTTATAATCCTTTTTTATTTTAATTAAAAAAACGTTTCTAAGGACATACACGTTAACGCCCGTTTTCGATATAATATTTAATACTTATTATTTATACTTTAAGTTTCGATGCAGGCCGACATCCACCGCTGCTCATATGTGGGCTGTTTCACACTTTTGACTCTTACAACTTGAAACATTAAAAGCGGCAGCTACACACGTTGTCATCTCACTATTCTTTTCCTTGACCTTTCACTTGATTTTTTCAAGTGAGAATCCATCCACAATACGTAGGGACATATTCTTGGATATAGTCTCCATTTGGAACCTCACCCGAATTAAGATTCATTCAACACCTCCATTGTTGTGGCTATATATACACCCAACCCATCATTGAGAACTCCATCATCACTCTTATCAGGAACTAAACTACCAAAATCTCTACCACTAATCAAATATGGATCCGAAGAGCTTTCATCAGCATGGGGAAAACGTGGAGTTGTCGGAGGCTGAGGATAATGCTTTCTACGCAGAGCTCACAAGGCAGATATTACTGATTATGGACGACGACGATGAAACGCATGCAAGGATAAACAGAAAGGGAGAGTTACCGGAGCTTCAAGGGAGAGTAGTGGTTACGTCGGGTAACTACTTTAGTTGGTGGGAAGGTGGGAGGAGTATGGAGGTGCCTGGTTGGATGGAGAGGTTGTGGGCAAGTAATGCGGCAGGGACAGGGGTGTTTATACCTCGTGTGGTAGCCGGTGGCAAGTCTAGAAGAAGACGACATAATAAACCAAGGAACGATGGAGGAAGAATACATTCTTATGCCCGACAAGCGACTCATGTTTGATTAGGTATACGATTAGGAGTTTGTAAAAGTTAGATGATTGACGATTCATTTTGTGGATAAATATGTGATGACATATGAGTCACATGGTCGAAACAAGAAGATTTTGTACCAATTCTTATCGGTTAATGGTATGGTTGATTGTTTAAAAAATGGAATGTTCTATTTTTAAAGTGACCATAAAACATATATTTTCTTTTAATTTATTAATAAGGAAAATTATTATAAAATCCATTATGTACATTTTTCAGTTTTACCGTTTAACCATTTTTTTTTTAAATAAAACCATAGGATTTCAAAAATAATCATTTGACGTATATCATTTCATCAGTTTTTTTTTTTCTTCTTAGATGGAGAAAATCTTTTGTTTGAAAAAAAAAAAAAACAACTAAGTTCATTAGTTTATATCAAAATCAATTTTGAACGGAAGTTAAGAGTTCCTATCAGTTTTACAGAACATTTAATTGCAAAATTGGCACTATATTTGGAAAACCACCTAAACAAAATCATGTTAAAGAAATAAAAATTTTGAAAAATCAGAAGTAAAACATGTGTCAATATCCACGCCAAGAAATTAAAAACATAAATCCAGTAGCCCAAACCAAATGTTCAAATAAAAAGATCCATGCCCATAAAGTATTCATACCAAAAAGGTTATATCCAATAATAAGTTGTGAAGAGTTTAACCATAAATAATCTCTTAACCAGCCAATCAAATAAGTAGAAGATTTATTAAAATGTAAAATATTACATTGCCATAATATAATGTACTTCCAATATCAATAAAAAGTAACTCATCCAACGGTAGTTAACATCCAAAAAACTACCAAATAAAATGCGTCCAACACTTATGAAAATTTGTGGGTAGAAATCATGAAAGCCCTGTTCCACAAAAACAAAAAGATGTTTATATTGTATTTTTCACCTAAAAAAAAACCCCATGAAAATGGTCTTTAAAGATTCCTATTACAAAATTAAAGGATTTCCGATTTTAGTTTCCTAGTTACATACGTTCGACGACCTGTGGAGAGGAGAGTGTGCCTATAAAAGCGTCGAGTAATCACACGATCAATGGAGGATACTAGCATGGACGACATTAGTCTTCTAGAAAATTTTGGGATTTCTTTTTCTAGAAGAGCGTTATTCTTCTGATCAACTATTGGAATGTAGTGTATTGATTATGAGTGACAATCCTACTTATTGGAACAATTTGGTTATCATCAAGGTTGACATCTTGCTTTGGATAGTCACTTTAAATTGGATCCCCGTTAATGCATAGCTTGCCCATAAATGTATCAATTTGGATTACGTAATGTTCCCTTTATGTGAGCTTCACACGGAGAATGACAATCACTTGTTTATAATGTACTTTTCGATAGTTGATATTTGGAGGTTTATTAGGAGGTAAAAGGATCGCTTGTCCTACTTCTACCTCAGTTTGTTATTAAATTAAGTGGGTGGGTTCCATGCCAATCAAAGAAGATTAGAAAATAATGTCTTTATGTCTTGAAGTGTTGGTGGCCATTAGTGAGAATTTTGGTTTTTGTAAAACCATCTCCAAGCAAGGTGGTAGATCAAAGGAGAAGTTGTAGATCTGGGACTTTTGCCTCTTTCTAGTCCCTTTCAAGGTATAAAGTTATGAGCTTAATGATTGATCTCTTAGATCTCTATTAGGAGGAGTTTGTGGACTCTTTTAGTCCAAAGAATGGATCTTTTGATGAAATCTCATGTTTGAGCTTAGGGTTGCCACCCTTAGAGCTAAAAGGGTCTGATAACCAGTAAAGTCTCCATCTTGAATGTCTTAATGGGTTCATGCATGAGATCTAGCCATTTCCATGGAAGTATGTTATTACATTTCAATTTTGGGGTCATTTGGTGGGTTGCAAGCCACCAAGTAGTCGACTTTATGGATTAATACATTAATGAGGACTTGGATCTTTGATTGTAGCTTCTGGTTTATAGTATTAAGCACTTAATGGAAAAGTGGCTTAACAGGGTTATACGTTGGACGTACAAGCAGGTACGCACGACGTTCAAACCATCAGCCAATACGCTTAGTGTACATAGGTGTACTCCTCGCGTACGTATTAGATTTGGGCTTTACGTTTTTAGGCCTCGGTTTGAGCCAATGTTTGGGTACTTGGGCTTTGATGGGCCATCATGAGTCAGTTATTATGTACCAAGTATATGTTTTGGGCTTATGGTAAGGCCCATTAGGGGATTGGGCCCAATTTAGCAAATTGGGCCATTAGTGGGCCACTAGTAGGCTTAGGAAGCCCATCTAGTGTTGGGCCTTTTATATTATGATTTGGAGCCTTAGATTTGGACCAAGTTGGGTTGGGGATAAAATGGTCATTTTACTCTAAGGAGGATTATTGTTTTGGACTATGTGATATTTTGGCGATAGCTAGGAGAGTCGAGGGATCAACAATTCGGGGATCTGCCAACTAGCAGCGAGGGGTTATTCGTAGGATTCTACAATCAGCTTTGCGATGTGAATTTTCTCCAGCAGGAACGGATCTAAGGCACCAATGTCGGTCCATTTATGTATGTTAGTGTATACTGGATTTAGATCCGATACCAGGGTTAGCCCGATGTAGTTTATATGTTTCGGATTCCATCCCGATGTCGAGTGAGGCCCGAGGAAGGTTTATATGTATGCTTTTGAACTATGGTTCGATGTCGGGTGGTACCCAAGGCAGTAGTGTATGCTTAGTTATACTTGTTTTCTTTGTGATACTTGTATGTGCCTGGTAAGGGGATGAGTGTGGGCGGGGGGGGGGGGGGGGGGCGTATCTCATCACTAGCTGAGTGTTACGAGGTTTCATATCTCATTAGTAGGGGTGGGGCCCTAGATAGGAGAGGCCTTAAGGATAGCAGTGATAGTATAGCGATTGTTTGTTATGTACTAGCATGTTTATACTTTATTATTGTATGTGTGTAGCAGGCTAAGCCGGGAGACAGACGAGGCCTAGTAGAAACAAATCTATATACCGAGCGAGGCTCGATGCCAGGTGGGGCCTGATGCCGGATTCATCCAATGTCGGGCAAGGCCCGATGTAGCGGGCCAGGCCTAATGTTTGTAGTATGTGTTTAAGTGTTTGGTATGTGGTAGTATGGGGAACTCACTAAGTTTCGTGCTTACAGTTTTTAGTTTTTGTTTCAGGTACTTGCGGTAGTGGAGGGAGGAGCTCGAGATGACTGCATGGCACACGCTAAGAAGTTTTTAGCCTGGGATGTTTACTCTAATAAAAAGAATATGTTTTTAGAAGATACTCTGATTTGATATAACGATTTTGTTGATGGATGAATTGGTTGATAATTATGGTTTTTTTATTAATGATTTAAAATGAAAATTTTGGACTGTATTTTTGGGACATTTCAGGTGATAGGATCACTTGTCCTACTCTGATTTGATATAACGATTTTGTTTATGTCTTGTTTATACTACTATTTGGGTCTTGTGGAAATTTCAAAATAACACCATTCATGGAATGGCGTAGCAAAAGAAAGCATTGATTTTTTATGACATTGTTTCTCTTTCTTTCTTTCGAGCCTCATGTGAAATACACTAACACTCTCTATTTGTGGCACAAGCTCGATGAGGATAAGTAGATAGGTTGAGCCACAAGAACATGGGACACCGACTCTGATACCATGTAAAATATATGTGGAGTCAAAGGTTGTTTCTTTACAAAAGAATCATTATAGAGATAGGGGAGACTCCAACAAATATTGAAATGTAAAAGACCTTTTCACACCTATGTGTGATACACGAACAATTTTAAATTAAAATGAGTTTTTAACTTGTTCTTGGTATGTCTTGTTTGAGTTTTACATTAGGTTCCTCAGTTTCAAACTTATTAATGGGTTTCAAAGTTTTTATTTATATGTTGTTAAATGTAAATTGAGCATTTGGAACATTCTCATGGAGAATTTGAATTTAATGGATCACTTGGGACTCAATGGAGCATGTAACAAAGGAACGGATCATCTGATAAAGGAATGTATCTCCAGGAAAATGAACATATAATGTGACAAGGGAACAGATCTTCAAAAAGGAGGTATAGAGCACCTAGGAAGGTAAATGAAGGATCTTGTGATGATCCATGATAAAGATGCACCATCTAGAAGTGGGTGTAAAATTCTTGGAGGTAGATGCTACACTCCATGATCAAGGTGTGCCGCATGTGTTCGACGATGAGCCATGGTATCCCTTGATGAACTACTTTTGATATTATGCTCACAGATGATGCTCGTGGAAGTTGCTCATGGATGATGCTCAAGGAAGATGTTCATCAATGATGGTCATGGAAGATGCTCATCGATGATGCTAATGGAAGATGTTCATCAATGATGCTCATGGAAGATGTTCATCAATGATGCTCATGGAAGATGCTCATGGAAGCTGCTCAAGGAAGATGCTCATGGAAAATTATCATGGAAAATGCTCATGGTCGATGCTCATTAGGTTAAAGATTCCTAAAGTTGTTGCATGGCGAATTCTGATTGGTTGATTCCATTTATGGGCCTATAGGCCAATGGTTTTGGCCCATTATGGTTTTAGATCTCATGCCTTCACTATAAATAAGAATGTATTTTAGTCATTTTTTGTGTCATTGATTCTAGAGGGAAATCTCTGTTGAATTGTACTCATAACCTCTGTTTGAGAACTTTAAAATAAAAATACTCTCCTCTTGCCCATGGATGTAGGCCACCTTGATCTAACCACGTAAATAATGTGTCTTTTGTGCTTTTGGTTTTGTGTGTTATTCACATTACTTCCTAACAAGGATCGTAAAATCTTGGCAAGTGGCATCAGATTTGTTCTGATTCTTGACAATCTTCGTCAGATTTCCTAACAAGTGGTATCAAGGCTGCAATGGGTGTTCTGTTGATTGAAGATGGCATCTCACAAATTTGATTTGGAGAAGTTCAATTGTTTGAATGATTTCACTTTGTGGAAGGTGGAGATGAATGCTCTTCTGGTTCCACAAGGATGTACAACGATGTTGGAAGGAGAAGCAAAATTGCCAAAGGACGTGTCAGCTGAAAGGAAGGTGGATATTATGGCAAGAGCGCTTAGTGTTACTTTGTTGAGTTTAATAGACGAAGTACCAAGAAAGGTTGTGGATCATACGAGTGTTGATGGGCTTTGGGAGAAGATATGAGACAAGTATCATAGCGATTCTCTCACAAATAATTTATACCAAAAGCAACATTTGTATACTCTCAAGATGTCGGAAAGCACCCAAGTGAAGGATCATCTGAATAACTTCAGTAGGATCATATTGGATATACAAGGTGTGAGTAACTCAATGGTATCTCAAAATTTGGCCTTTTTGATGAGATACTTAGAGAGATTTATGCACATAAAACCACATGCTTCTAGGGACAAGGATTATTAATAGTTTCATACTGCCAATTCATTGGTTTAAGAAATAAGAGAGAAGATGTTGAAAACACCAATGAAAAATTTACAAACAATAGAATGGAGTTTAAGTCATTGTAAGCATGCCAAGTTTAGGGATCAACTTGTTCTTGGTCTTCTCATCGAAAGCCTTAGTAAAAATATTTGCCAATTGATCAGTGGTTGGAATGTAGAACAGTTCCACTTTTCCTTTCTAAACGATATCACAAATTAAATGATGATGAATATCGATGTGTTTGGTATTAGAATGTTGAACTAGATTATGTATCATCAGAATTATGTTGGTGTTGTCACAACAGATAAAGAGTCTTTAAAAATGTAAATCCTTAATCCAAAAGCTGATTCTAAATCCAAAGAATCTATGCACAAAACCTCCCAACGACAACATATTTTACTTCAACGGTAGAGCAAGCCACTGACAATGCTTTTTTCTTGACTAGCTCATTAGTCTATTTCCCAACAATTGAGCTCTCCCTAAAGTAATCTTTCGATCGATAGCACATCCACCACTATCAGAGTTAATGTAACCAACCATCTTGAATTCTGAATTATATGGATAACATAACCCAAGATTGGGTGTACGCTTTAGATAACGGAAGTTTCTCTTAATAACATGTAGATGTGATTCTTTGGGATTGGCTTGATATTGAGAATACAATATGGTCACGAACATGATATATGAATGACTGGAAGTGAGATAGATCAGAGAGTCTATCATTCCTGTATACATTATCACATTAATGTCAATGTCAGTTGGATCAATAGTTATTATCATAGATGGTCACATTGGGGTCTTTGTTGGTTTACAATCAGTGAATCCAAACTTCTTTAGTAGGTCAGTGATGTACTTGGCTTAACAAATAAAGATTCCATCAGTGAATTACCTAAGAAAAATATATTTCATCCATCATGCTCATTTCAAACTTCTTAGCCATTACTTTAGCAAATTCAGTACTCAGTGTCTCATCAGTAGCTCCAAAAATCCTAACATCATCTACATACACCTGAGCAAGTATAATATGTGACCCAGATTACTTGATAAACGTGTTATCAATATCCCCTCACTTGCATGCATTCTCCAAGAGATAAGTCGCTAGTTCATCGGTCCAAGCATTAGGAGCTTGTTTCACAATGTATACAACTTTGTCCAGACGATACACATGATCTAGATATTCTTCACTTTTAAAACTCGGTGGTTGTTTCATAAATACTTCTTCTTGAAGATCCCCATGCATAAAATTTGTCTTGACGTCCATTTGATAGACTTTGAAGTTCATGAAAGATGCATATGCAAGAAGCAACCTTATTGTCTCAAGTCTTGCTACATGGGCAAAGGTTCCATCATACTCCAAACCTTCTAATTGACAAAATCCATGAGCAACCAGTCTTGCCTTGTTTCTTATGGCAATCCCATCTTCATCCATCTTCTTTCTAAACACCAACGAGCGCAAATGATAGTCTTCCATTGAGTCTGTGTAACCAACATCCAAACACTATGTTGTTCAAACTTATTCAGCTCGTCTTGCATTACCTTGATCCACTCAACATCTTTTAATGCTTCAGCTATCTTCTTGGGTTTAATCACTAATACAAAATTGACAAACATACAGAAGTTATTGGTGGCCTTGCTACGAGCAATGATCACTGAGTTGATGTTTCCAATGATATGAGACTTAGGGTGATTGTGATGAAATATATGATTTGTATCATTATTATTGATCAGTTCATCATCAGATAATAATCCTTCATGATTAGGAGTTACACCAGGGTTATGATTTTCATCATTATTGTTGATTCTTCAGTACCATGAAATTGATATTCAGTGTTATGAATTTGATCTTCATTGTTATTAGGAGTGTTGAGAGTAGGATCACTATTCGGAACATTTGGCTCATCGATAGCAAAACGAGACAATGAATAAGCTTGTTACGAATGTTGGTAGGATGATATGTTCTATCTTCAATGAAAGTTTCTTCATCAAATGTAACGTGAATAGATTCCTCAATGATTTGTCTTGAAATATTGAATACTATGTAGGGTTTAGTTTCACTTGCATATCCCAAGAACAACCCTTTATCATCATTTTCTTCAAATTTTGAATGTCGATTGTTGTAACTCAAGATAGGTGGATTTTTTAGAAGGTGTATGATTCTCTCTCGTGGGACTATAATTTATAAATTATGCAGATTATAAGGTTTGGCCGGTTATGGTGTGGATGGATTATGGAGCTTTTGAGATCTGCTAGGGGTTTTGTTTTAGTTAACGGGTCTTTTATTGATGAACATATTTATGTTGGCCTAATACTGGGAGATTCGCTTTCCCCTTTTCTTTTCATCCTAGCTATGGAGGATCTTCATGTATCTTTGGTTAGGGCCTAGCTTGCTAACATGTTTCATGGGATTTTTATTTCTGGGATAAAGATTTCACACTTTCTTTATGTTTACGATGTTATGCTTGTCTCTTCATGGGATCATGAAAATGTGAATCGTCTCATTCACATTCTTTGGCGCTACCATTTGGATTTGGGGCTTAAACTCAATTTACATAAGAGCAAATTGATTGGTGTTGGAGTCCCCTTATCCTAGGTGTCTCGTCTTGAAGACAAGATTGGTTGTGTTACGACTGAGCTTCCGTTCATTCATCTTGTTTACTTTAGGCATAGTCCTAGAGGTGGTGCTAAGCAGGAGCAGTGGGATGCCTTCTTTTCTATTCTTCGAGATTTTTAGTTGCTAGCCACTTCTGATAGGGCGAGTTGGATTATTGACACTTCATATACTTTTTCAGTCTCTTATGCCCGTCGATTCCTTAATAATAACATGCTTTTTTTTCTGAAGGTGTAGAGACTTGGTGGAATAATTATGTTACAATCAAACTCAATATTCTTTTATGGAGGATTCGATTATCGTGTATACCTTCTAGAGAGAGACTTTCTCACAGGGGTATTCTGGTGGACACGATTCTTTGCCATGTTTGTTCCTGTACATTAGAGACTACTGATTACCTCTTTGCAGGATGTATCGAGCTGATTGAGATCTGGTCTCGGTTGCGACTTTGTGGGGCATCCAAATTACGGATCAAATTAGTGTCCATTCTCTTATTACATGGTCAAATTTTGTCACAGTGAGAGGAGGACAATGTAAGGCTTTCGATACATTGATCATGACTACTTTTTTGTGTCTTTTGAATTTCATAAATTCGACGGTTTTTGGAATGGCTATTCCTAAGAAATCTTTGCTTTTTGATGATGTTGTTTATAGGTTTTTCTTTTGGATTCCTAATAGACGTAGTAAAGTGAAGATTAATTTGAGTGATTGGCTTCATAACCTTATTTCTGCAACAATTTTGATGTAATTTTTATTTTCTACTTTTTTGCTAGTTTTAACAAAATATCTTTCGTTTAAAAAAATTGTTAGAAAAAAATTGTAAATTGTTATAATTCAATCATCCATAATATTTTTTACATATGAAAAACGGTTTTTTTTCTTACGTAAAAAATATTATGTGTGCACGGAATCGTTCATTTTAATAAGGGAGCCAATGTTAACAATGAAATATTCATTACCTCTTCTTATTATGCGTGTCATATGTTTTATTTTGCTCTTATGTTATTTCATCATGTTAACAAAATCAATAATATTATCAAAAAAAAAAAAAAAAAAAAAAAAAAAGATATAAATCATGGGGAAGAAACGTGTCAAACGTCTTCCAAAGTTCAAGTGCATTTTCAATAAATATGGTCGACACATAAATAGATGTAATTTTCATATCGGTATCAGCACTCTCAAGATTTTTAAATTGTTTTCAAATATATTACGATAATAACTTTTTATTTTTTATCTTTTAATTAGAAAATCATTTTTCATCATTATGGATATACACATTTATATCCTGGTTTCCGATGATAATTTGTATAATATATTTTAGAAGATCCCGTGCAGGCCGACATCCACCGCTTCTGAAACGTGGGATGTTTCACAGTTTTGACACTTACAACATGAAACATTAAAAGCCAGAGCAACTACAGACGTTATTGTCATCTCACTGTTCTTTTCTTTGACCTTTTCACTTGATTATTTCAGGTAAAATCCATCCAGAATACGGACATATTCTTGGATATATTATCTCCATTTGGCACTCCACCCTAATCAAGATTCATTCAACTCCTCTCCATCGTTATGCCTATATATACACACACCCTACCAATCACTAACACCATCGATTATCACTCTCATCGGTACATTAAACTACAAATCTCACACTAATATGGACCTGGATTACGTTCATCATCATCGGTCAAACATGGAGTCGCCGGAGGCTGAGGATGATGTGTTCTACGCAGAGCTCACAAGGCAGATATTGGTGCTTATGGACGAAGACGATGAAACCCATGCATGGAGAAATAGAAAGGGTGAGTCGCCGGAGTTTCAAGGGAGATCGGTGGTGACGTCCGGGAACTACTTTAGTTGGTGGGAGGGTGGGAGGAATTTTGAGGTGCCCTGTTGGATGGAGAGGTTGTGGGCAAGTAACGGTGCTGGGACAGGGGTGTTTATACCTCGAGTGGTGGTCGCCGGAAAGACCAGAAGAAGACGTCAGAATAAAGCTCGGAGGAACGACGGAGGAAGAATGCATTCTTGTGCCGGACATAAGACTCATGGTTGATTCTTTGTAGGAATACGAATATGAATTCGTAAGGTTAAAATGATGATTCTTTTTCTGCATAAAGATGTGATGACGCATGAGTCTCATGGTCGAAACAAGTAGAGAATATTTCAGATTCGTACCAATTCTTATAATTTATTGTACAACTGATTGTTAGAAGAATGGAATGTTTCATTTATAATTTGCTTACCACAAATCAAATACTTCTTTCCATTACAAAAAAACAATAATAAAATAAAATAATAGTGCATACTTTATTTTTGGGCTCTTCCAGGAATAGGCTTAACATTTTTTTTAACAAACTTAAATATCTGTTTATGAACTAACGATCGCCATGAGATAAATTGCGATTTGGAATTTATTTTCTGTTAAGTTTAACGAGCCTATAAGCAACCGATCTAAACTCATCAGTAACAGGTTTAAAAAGATTTTGTGTGAAGACAGGGATGCCATTTAGTGTCTTCTACTTTTACTGAGACCAAGATCAAGGAGGCCGTATTGAGAAGGTGCGGACGGATTTACTTTTAAGTTCTTGAAACATTATTGGGAGTTGATAAAATTTGATGTTTTTATGTTTGTGAAAGACTTTGAGAGCTCGGCTGTATTGTCTAAATGATGTAATTCTTCCCTTATCTCTCTCATTCCCAAGGTTAGAGATCCTCTTTATTTAAAAGACTATAGACCCATTAACCTTGTGGGCTGCTTATATAAGGTGTTATCGAAAGTGCTTGCTAATCGTTTGAAGAATGTGTTGGACAAGATCATCTGTCATGAGCAAACCGTTTATGTTGGTGGGAGAAGCATCCAAGACTGGTCCCATTTTGCTTAATGAAATTGTTGCTTGGACCAAAAAAGTGAAAGAAAAAAGTTTTTGTTTTTAAGTCGATTTTGATTTTAAGTCGATTTTGATAAGGCGCTTGACTCATTATGTTGGGAGTTTTTGGACTCGATTATGGACCAAATGAATTTTGGGTGGAATTGGAGAAGATGGATTAGGGGTTGTCTTTTCTCTATTAGAGCTTTTGTGTTGGCCAACAGCTCGCCGACGAAAGAATTTGATATTCGACGAGGTTTGAGGCAAGGAGATCCCCTATCTCATTTTCTCTTTATTATAGCTATTGACGGTCCTCATGTCTCCAAGGAGGCGTCTATCGATCTTCACTATTTTCACTAGCTTTCTCTCCCAAACAATGATATCTCTATTTCAAATCTTATATACGTTGACGATGTGACATTCCTTGGTGAATTGTCGGAGATTAACTTTGTTAATCTGAATAGACTTCTTCGTTGTTTTTTAATTGCCTCAAGGTTGAAAGTAAATTTGCACAAGAGTAAAGTATATGGAGTTGGTGTCGATGTTGAGGAGGTGAATAGATTCGCCATCATTTTAAAGTGTGAGTCTGCTTCTTTTCCGTTCACATATCTTGGTCTTCTGGTGGGAGCAAATATGAAATTTGCTAATAATTGGATCTCGGTTGTTGACATGTTTAAGAACAAATTATCCCAATGGAAATTGAAGACTCTTTCGTTTGGAGGGCGCCTAACTCTAGTGAATTCAGTGTTCAATAGTTTGTCTTTCTGTTATTTTTCTCTTTTTAGAGCACCTAAAAAGGTTATTAGCTTGCTTGATTCCATTAGAAGGAGATTCTTATGGGGTGGTAATGAAAACATTAGGAAAATAAATTGGGTTGCTTGGGACGTGGTGATCAAACCAAAAAAAATACGGTGGGCTTGGAGTTGGTTGTCTTGACGAGGCTATATTGGGTCTTCCCCCTAAATGGTGGCGACGACTTAAAAATAGGTCTGAATCCTTTTGGTTTTCTTGCATAAAATTGATTCATAATATTAAGTTGATGGATGGGAGACCTCTCGCTAAAATCTCTATTAAAGGTGTGTGGCTTAGCATCTTTCAAATTAGTAATGAATTATTAGGCAAAGGGGTTGTGTTGGCTGATTTGTTCAAGAGGTTGGTTGGCATTAGGGATAAAACATACTTTTGGAAAGATTGTTGGTGTGGTGACATCGGTTTGAAATATTTATGTTAGAATCTATATGGTGTTTAGTCAAACAAGGATTGTCTTGTTATGGATAGAGTTAATGTGGAAGCTATTAATGATTTGAAGTAGAATTGGAGTTGGTATATGCATATCAGATCATGTTTGGGTGTCAAACCAACAAATGATGGGATAAAATAATATTAATATAACTCAAATCACTGCTATTTCTAATACTAAAGATAGTATAGAGTAAGCAGGGTCGGTCCACAAGATACGGGACTTTTTATCTTGCCATATTTTCACACATAATAATTTGAACTTGAATTAAACTTCATAAATAAGAAAGATTGAAAACAAACGCAGTAAAAGAAGTACATTTCCGATTCTGACTCTTATATGTGTATTATGTTGAAAGATGTAATATGATTATAACTCATGTTCAATCTAGGTTGGTAAGTTGGATATTAATAAACTCTAATATCCAAATTGGCAAAAGTATTTTATTCAAAATAAGCTCTTTAAATAAAACTTCATTTAATTGATTCAACCCAAATAAGCTCTTGCATTAAATCATTAAATGACATTAGGTTCTTGCACTAATTACCAACAATGTTTAAAATTCCTCTTAAGCTTGGGAATATAAACATTTAATCTTTGATTGCACTAATTTTGATCTAATTACAACCAAGTAAGTGAGTGTTACTAACATCAAATCATAAAACATATACGAATTTCATGATTTGATTAACTAGATTGAATAGAACCCTAGTTCATTGATCAAGTGAAAAAGAGAACTAACCAAACACATGATTAAGATCAAATCAAAGATTACTAGATGTTAAACACAAGTCAAATTCAAGTTACAGCCTAACAACACATACTTAAGAATTCAGATTCAGAAATGATAATAAAATCAACCACACATATCTAGGTTAGACTACAAATCAAACAAGTTTAAACTTCAAATCGACTTAAAAAAAGAAATTAAAGTGTTTCCCAAGTGTTAATCTACTTGCCAAAGCTCTGAAAATCGTCTCTTCTCTTCCCAAAATCCGACCTAACTTTTATAAAAACTGATTGTCTGAATTATAAGAAGACAAAACCACTTTAAAACTGCCGAGACGTTTACACGGCCCGTGTAAATCAAAGGGTTCCATTTACACGGCCGTGTAAACAAGAAAAGTAGAATGCTTAATTCTTCCAGGTCTTCGAAGTAGAATGTCCTTGCATATACGTTTACACGGCCCGTGTAAATTATAGGTATACATTTACACGGCCGTGTAAACTCCTGTGAAGCCAAATTCTTCATTTCTTCATTCTCTCTCTTCAAAGCTCCAAAACTTCTACAACTTTGTCTCCAACTCTTGATAACTTCCTCCAACAAGATCCAACCTTCATAAGTCCCTGAAATATCCTAAAAGCGTGTGAATGGAATTGCATCATGAAAAATCCCGAAAATATACAAAATGCATGAGTTTAAACCTAAATGTAATGCACTTTTATGAACTAAAACTATAAAAATGAATGCATGAAATGCACCTAACAGATCACGAAGAGAAATTGATCAACTCTCGTTCCTAATCAACATTTTAAATAAATTTTAGTTTATTAGTGGTTGTGACAGGCTCTAGAAAGGCGATGGCAACACTTCTTTCTCAGTTAGAGATTTCATACTCGTCACCAGTGCCTCCATTGCAATCAATGTGCCTTTGTTCAAATGGGTGAAGTGGATCTTGTTAAATGTTAATTGATTTGTGTGGAGATTGATAAGGAATTGTATCTCTCTTACCCCTAATTTATTGAGTCGTGAGGTTTATGTGGCTTCAACTTTGTGCCCCTTCTGTTATATAGATGAGGATCGTTTAAATCACGTGTTTTTCTCATGTCATGTTGCCTCGAGACTATGGAAATGTGTCACACCCCTAAACCTAGGATGGTAGAAATCGCCGGAGGTGGGATGACTTCATGTATAGTATCATAACATCGAGTATAATAGTGGCCAAAGTAAACACAACCATAATAAATATAATCGAAAAAGTTACATGGTTTCATGAGTTACATGTTTCAAAATCGATTACAATATAATGATAAAATGATTTGTCTAACGCCTTACCGTCTCATCCTCAAAAGTTTGGTAGTTACCTACTTTAATGATTACCTGAGAACACAAGTAATTTTGAAAAAGTGTCAACAATAAAGTTGGTGAGTTCATAATAGTTTTATTTGAGAAAAATGTTGTTTTTCCTTGTAAAAATGATAGAGTGTGATTCCAGAAAATCCGATATTTTCTTCTAAAATGTATCGGGTGTACTCCTAGAAAAACTCATAGTCTCCTTCTATAATTTCTTAGTGTATACAAGGTATATAAAATCGAGGTTTAATAAACTGTTGAATATAATGAATCTGCCCTAGGCCCACCACCAAAACAAGTAACATGACCTAAGGCGGAACCACCAATGCTAAGTTGATAGCGCCTTAACGTTATATAACTCTAACGTGTGCACTAAGCAATTATAGATGCACACTAACAATCCTCGATGAAATGTAGTCGTAGTTACCCTAAGAGCGATATGTATGTGTTAGAACAAAGTTCTTTTAGGATCGTATGATTCTAAGCAAAATATTAATAAGAACGTAAATAAGAACACAAGTATTGCGATGAAGATGTCGAATGATTAATGCAAAATACCCCAGAAGAGCTCGATTAAGAACTTCAATCTGTAGAGGTAAATTTAGGGTTACAATAATCAACGTGAACGACTAATCTATTTTATACGCATACATGCATGCATATATTTATAATAAAACCCTAACAACTTATCTAGATAAAGGAAACTATTCTAGATAACTACGGATGGATAAGCCCAATCCGATTACAAAACAAATAATCCAAGATGCAACACTTAAAATATTCAACAATCTCCCCCTTTGCGTCTTTGGATCATAATCTCTATTCTCTTTTCACACCAGTGGTTTTCTTCACCATTTCAAATATCCTCAGTA